TGTGCTTGACACTAGCCTTATAGATAACTCCTTTATACATGCATTTACCGTTCATGGAACAGAGGGTACCTTTACGACAATTACATTTTTGATCATCAGGGCTACCATTAGATCTGTACTAAAAACCTTGAACAATATTTAGTCCAACATAATAGTGTAACTCTTAACAAATATTTAAGCAGTACTAGTAGCATATATATACATACATACACTGCTAATTTTAGTGCTGATTGGTTCACTGTTCTGTCATGATCATTATTTCATCTTAAGGTGCCGGAAGCACTTTATATCAGGTCCCACAAGCCCTCCCTGTGTAAACAGCATGAATGTTTGTTGGGGCTCGCTGTTATTTGTCTCTAGTTCAATTTTTTTTCCCCCTTCTCCTTTTCATTACACATTTTCTGTTGTTTTAATTTAAGTTAAATCTCCCATAGAGGCCTGAAGAGCAGGAGCAAAACCGGTTGCTTCGCTTTTAACATGTCTTGTAATATTAAGCTACACACTTATTTCTGTAATTAGATTTTGTACCTTCAAAAATATTTTCAAATATACATGTGTGTAAATATACATAATATTCAACATCGTTAACATGACTGAGTTTTAGAGTTTCATGTAGGTAATACAATCTCTACACCTGAAGACTGCATGAAAGTCCAAGTCATATTATTGACATTGGATATTATGTATATTCAATAATATATATTTATAGTTGTTTCATAACATTGAGCACCGTTTTTATAACACCTGAGGAATAAATATTCTTATGTATGTGCAAGCATTTGTGCGTGCATGTACATTTTTTATCCTACCATCTATGTGTGTGTGTGTGTGTGTGTATATATATATATATATATATATATATAACAGCAATAAATAGACAATACTTATTTTTAATATTAACAGAGATGATAATAATTAAAAGAAAAGAATGAAAACTGGCTACCTAACAGGCTTTGAATATTGCTCAAAAGAGCTATTGAGGTTAATAAATAGGTATACATCATCAATAAAAGGAATGGGGAATGTAAGAAAAAAAGATAAAAAAAAAAATTTTCAATGGAAACTACTTGGAGGCCAAGGCAAAACTATTCTTTTTTTTTACAGAGAAACTTTCATAGATTGAATATATATGGTCTCTAGTATTTTTTTGGTGGTAATTAGAGTGGCACCTACTCAAGAAATTCCAGTGGTGATACTCATCCAAGTATACATAATCCAATGGAATTTACTTAGTAGCTGCACTATATTGAGTCTAGTTAGTTTCTTCTTTGTCACCAAGCCCGTTGGTCCAGTGGTATGACACTTGTGTTGTATTGTAATGGTCTGGGTTCAATTCTTGGTAGTGGATGCACACTGCTGAGGAGTCCTAAATAGGAGAAAATGGTCCTACAGTGTTTTCTGCATTCTCTTGAGGATTCTTCTAGACACAATGAATTACTATAAATGATTATTCAAATCCCAAAAAATTTCTATCACTTAAAATAATAAAAAAAAAACCCCAAAAAACCAACACACTCTGTTTTAAAATATTTGTAAAATCAGGGAAATGACCAATTTAAACAATATTTTCAGGATTTATTCATTAATGAATATTTTACCGAATAGGTTATTTTGTTAAAATATTTTTGGGAAATACTTTTTAGAGGTATATTCCACACCCTATTTTTGATATCAGATATATACTTTTTAATTTTGAGGGTGTTCACCAAATTTTTTTTACAGTTGTATAAAGCCCTAAAGATATTATTTCTGTAAAAAATTTATGCGATATCGAGTGTGAACATACAGAAAATTCAGCCTGCATCTTGCCAAAAACAATTCAATAAAAAGTTTTATATTTTTTTTTATTTTTAAAACTAAAAAAATATTTTGAGAATTGGTGTTTGCCTGTTCAGTCAGTATAAAAAATATAATTAGTATTAATTATACTAAGTTTATAAAAGTATATAAAATAAAAAATTATATTTTTAAACTATTGATTATGATTAAAGAAAATTTAGTTGTAAAATACTGTAAACATAACAATAACATTTATTGGTTATTGCACAGCTGGTCTTCTGTACTTCTTTTATTTTTACTTCTTCCCGCGTTTTTCGGACAGTGGCAGAATGTATTTTTACTTTGTCCTTTGACCTCACATGCTAGAATCCATAAATAAAATGTTATTTTCATTGTTTTAGGTAAGCATTACTTTTAGTTTTAATCAAGTTTTTAGTATGGCGGCGCGAGAAGTCGATCAGTAACAAACAAAACAAAAGCTTATTTATATACAGAAATTAAAGTTTCTCTTCATACGGATTAGCTTTAGTTTAGTTAGACTATTAAATTATCATTTAAATAGAACCGAAATTTAAGCTCAAAGCATTTAAAAATATTAAAAAAAAATGGGTTTTTTTTTAAATTTTTTTTAGAGAGTCATTATGGCGGTACCAAATGAAAAGAAAATTTTATTAAAGAGGAGACATTTAAATTATTTTAAATTAGTTTTAAAATTTTTTAGTTCAAATTTTATTTTTATTGGTACCTAGTTTAATTAGCATTGTAGTTGTGTAAAAAACAAAAAGGCAGGTTTTATTTTGAAATTTATTAAAAATATGAGGTAAAAACGTTTTAGCATCCGCAAATGCCAAATTTCTTTTATTTATATATGGAATAAAATTATTTAGTGCTTCTAAAATGCTAATATTTAAAAATATCAGAATCTGAGAATATGAAGCCAGTTAAATACCTTCCTTAAAAATAAGCATGTTAAAAGGAGATTTTTTTTTTTTTTTGTCCCATTTTGCATATTGAGATATATATTGGGGTTTATCTGGACACCAAATAAAAATAATCTCAGTTATTTCCCTTAAATTATCTACTTAAGTGTTATATAAAAAAAAAATCTGATTTTTCATCAAAAAATTAACAACCTAGAAGGTATAAAAGAAATTAACTTTTTATTTATTTGCAGTGGACATATAGGTTAATGATCATTTTATTTGTGTTTATTTTTGCATTCTATGAAAAGTTCTTAAAAACTAAGCATTGCATATGCCATTTATTTTTGACATTACTGAGTAGTAAGTATCGATGCGTAAATGGCATATCCGACATCAGTTAGTTTTTTTACCAACATCTGTGGTAATTTAATTATGAGTGTAACAAATACAAATATATTAAAAAATAAAGTGATAATTTAAAATACTTCTTTCTTTATACCATAATGAAAATTTAAGAAAATAATTCTTATGCAACATTTTGATATACGACTGCGCATGCGTAGTTTCATAATTTTCTTTCAAACACGCGATCTTGAATACTGCTTTAGATTTATCATAAATCTAAAAAATCATTTTATTTTTATGTCATGATTTTTCTTTATTTGAATTAGAAGTTTTAAGACAAAACCATGCACCGAGTAATGCAACTGTAGGTAGACCAATGATTAATAACTTCGTCTCACAGATCAAGTTAAAAGTGCAGTGCAATTGATCTTCATTCAATCAGTAAAATAATGTGTCCCTGTACTTAAAAACTTACTCGCTATTATGAAATACGCTAATCTAGAAGAACATTTAGTTCCTGCCTCACTAGGAGTTCTACACTTGTTGCACAAACTAAAAAACCTCATGTGCCAAGCGTCTAATTAGGTTCGATTAAGAAGGTCCTTATACATTATTCACCCAACCTAATTGGATCCTTTTAACTTAAGAGTGTGGTATTTTTATTTTTTGGTCTACTCTCTAGTATTTACCACATCTTTGAATACTTTCATAAATTTGGGGAAAGTTTAAAAAATTAGAAACAAAAAAAAAGCCTGAAATATTTCGTTTTTTTTTCAGTATTAAGAAAAATCAATGTGAGAATTCTTCGAATACTACTTACTTAAAGTAAAGCTAATAACTCTAGCCATAAAAAATGACGACCAATATTCAACGAATTCAGTAATTTTGCGATTGCACTATTTTATATCTGCGAAACGAATAATTTAGGATACTTTAGTACAGAAATTTTACAATAAATTTTTAAACGATAAAAGTAAAAATAGAGAAAGCTAACAAAATAAAAAATAAATTATGTAATTGTAATAGCAGTCTGATCTTGCCTACCTACTAATGGGGTTTTCTTTGTTATGGTAATAACAGGAGTTGTGTTCTCTTATTTACGTCGAGTAATGCAAATGAATATCTGATCATTAAGGAGAGATCAGGCTGCATAACCGATAAATATATAAAGTCTCATTGTGCTTTCCTTTAAAATATAACTTTAAAAGTACACAAGCTGATGCTAGCTAAACTAATTGATCGCCACTTTGAATTAGATAAAAAAAAATGTATTTTTTCTTGAATAATTCTTTGTTCAAAAATGTATTTCAACTGCTGAGAACAGAAAAGAAGACTTGCGATGAATTGAGTTCAAGATATTTTAATTTTCTGATGATCATTAAAGTGTACAAAAAACTAAATGTAATTTTTAGACACATTTTTAGTTTAAATAGTTTTTTCCATAATATTGTGGGAAAACGATTTAAACATTTTAATTTATTATTTGTGATCTTGAATAAGGAATCAAATGAAATATATTTAAAGACAACGTATTTAAAAAAAATTATTAACTCGTACATAAAATATTTTTTGCATGATTTAAAAATATACATTTTTTTTTCATTTAGTGATCGAAGCCAGCTCGCTTCTCTTAGGAATTTGAATCAAATGAAATGAGAACACTGCGAGTTGAGTCACCAAAATGAAAAGGTAGGAGATATGAGAAATCTTTAGTAAATCGTTTTAAAAATGTGTGACATAATTTGTAACATTTAAGTATGTCAAGTCAAAAAAAGAATGGATCCGACTTCTCTAGGTCAAGTGTTAAACAAAAACAGCCAGACTTCCAACCGCACTATGTCTTCTTAACGAAATTAGCTTTTAATTATTTCATTTTAAAGATCATCTTAACTCTAGGTGCACATGGATCTGTTATCGGAAGAGTTTTTTTTCTGTTTAAATTTATGAACTCACCTGCATTTGGTAAGATTTCCTTGTTGAGGTTCACGAATCACCAACTGATGTCTACTGAAAGGAAGCCATACACTATCGGTTTGGATTAGACGTCGGAGCTTCCTACACACTTGACAGAGTCGGCCTAAGGATGTCAGATCCAAATATCGGAACAATAAATAAAGGACATCCTCAGGCAGCTCCATCAAGTGTAAATTTCGATCCAATGTCCATTTTTGAAGTGTCAACACATCGCCGTACGACGATGACGACGATGAAGCCTGTCTCTTGGCTGGCACCGAGTAAAATGTCGGAGCAGCGGACTTCTTGTGCATTACAGCCACTCGTATTATCCTGGATCTCGGCAAAAAAATGCTCCTCGGATCTGAATGAATATATTCCCCCACGTTTATCCACGATTTTTCTCATTTTAGACGTCTCTTCCGCGAATATAAAATAGAACTCAAATCAATGTTAGAAGGCAGCTCTCGCCATATTGTTACGGAAATTCGACCGGAAAGTGAACCGCATTGAAATATCTTTACATATTCACATATTATATGCAATAAATTTAATTTTAAAATAAATAATAAAGTATTTTTACACTTAATGAATTTTGGAGATATGACAAAAAATTCTTATTTTAAATTTAAAAAATTATAATTTTACGACAACCATAAATCTCTCGCAAACCTATATTCTGGAAGAATGGATTACACTGGTCAATAAATAAAATCACTTGAATAGTTACAAAATATGTAAATAAGTCTAATAAAAATTCATTTAATTATAATAAATATCCAATAATAGATAATAAACTTTTTCCAATTTTAGTTTTGTTTTAAGTCGTAAAATAATTACTGATTTGGTAGGTTTATATTTTGTCGAATAACGGAATATCAATTCCTAAAAAACGGAATGCATTTTCTGTTATGCTGGAATATTTAATGGCGCTGAACACGTTGTTGTCAAGAGGTAGGATTTTCTTGTTATTCAATAATGTCAATTACCACTTTCTTTTTTTTCTGTCGCATTAAGCCTTTTAGGTATTCTAAATTATAAGATTGCATTAAATAGTTTATTTACTAGATTTTTAAAGTCAAACATTTACATAATAGAAGATATAGAGAGGAAAACTAAAACATCTCAAATTGAACTGGAATGTTTAAAAGACGCATTTAATTTAAAAAATATTCTTTTAATTGGATGTCATATATTTTAATTTTTCGGTCATTACTTTATCGTTTATTCTCTGATAACAAGAGTAGTAGTTGGTCAGAAAGTATTGGGTTGTCCGGAAAGTTCTTGCCGATTTTTAGTTCATGTTCCAACACGTTAGAACACGTCAAATTTATCGACAGAGCTTAGAGCACACTTCAAACTATCTCTTGAGAAAGAAAGTTTTTTTAAAAAAATCACTTAATTCGTGTCAGTTTTGCATCGCTATGAAAATGGAAGATAAGGTGCATTTTAGACACTTGATGCTTTTTTATTACCGTAAAGGCAAAAATGCCTCTCAAGCAACAAAAAAAGATATGTGCTGTGTACGGTGAAGGTGCTTTAGCTGACAGAACTGTACGAAAGTGGTTCGCGAAGTTTAGAGTTGGTGATTGTAGCATTATTGGAGAACGCTCAGGCAGACCCCCTACTACAGATGACGACCAAATCAAGACATTGATTGAGAATAACCCGTATTACACAACGCGGGAATTGGCAGAAACACTACTAAATTTATCAAAAATCCACCATCCATGAGCACTTAGTGAAGCTTGGGTACTCAAATCACTACGATGTTTGGGTACCACATGATCTGAGTGAAAAAAAGCTTTTGGATAGAATTTCTATCTGTGATTTTTGCTGTATAAACGCAATGAAAATGCACCTTTTTTGAAGCGAATTGTGACAGGTGATGAGAAATGGATCGTTTACAATAGTGTTCAGCGAAAAAGATCCTGGGGTAAACGACTTGTGCCAACTTTAGCGACACCAAAAACAGGTTCTTATCCTAAGAAAAAGAAAGTCATACTGTGCATCTGGTGGGATTGGAAAGGAATCCTGTCCTATGAGCTTCTGCCAAATAACCAATCAATTGATTCTGAAAAGTACTGCTCGCAACTGGATGAATTAAAGGCAGCAATTCAAGAAAAACCCCAGAATTGGCGAACGGGAAAGGAGTTGTTTTCCATCAGGACAATACCAGACCTCACGTTTCTTTGGCGACCCGGCAAAAATTGTTGCAGCTTGGCTGGGATGTGTTACCCCACCCTCCATATTCACCAGATATTGCTCCTTCGGATTTTCATTTATTCAGGTCCTTGCAAAATAATTTCTATGGTAAAAATTTTAATTCTTTGGATAACATTAAAAAATACCTTAATGAATTCTTTACTGAGAAACCACCGAAATTTTGGGAAGATGGAATCTTTAAGTTGAAGGAAAAATGGAGAAATGTTGTTCAACAAAATGGTTCATCAATTTAATAGAATAAATATTTAATGGCATAATTTTATTTTTGTGTTTTAGTTTTTTTAATTTCCCTTAAAAATTGGCATGAACTTTCCGGAAACAACCCAATATATTCTTTTGAGATACATTAAATAAATATATAGTTTATATCCATAGTTTTTTTTTCAGTCCTTTCCTTGTATCACGATATTTTTCTCATTCTGACTGCGATGAACAAAAAAGTTATTTCGATTAAAAAAAATCTTTGATTCGCCATTTTTTTTGTTTTACTTTTAAAATTGTTGCTTTCTTTTTAGTTTTTATGAATTTAAAAAAAAATAGCTTATTTCCAAACATTTTACTTATTTTAGGCATTGAGTTTTTTTAGTTTGTGGGGATTTTCTTCACTTCTCAATGAAATATACCTGATAAGTGAATTCCGTTGCTAGGAAAATATAAACTTTGATGAAAAACTAAAAGTAAAACATTCTTTTTGCTTTTAATTCCTCCTGCAGTTTTAAAGATGAATGAAATTTCCCCAGTGAACAATCAGGAATTATTCCTGCCTTTTTTGTACGATGTTTGAAAACCTTTGCAGTCTTCACTATTATTAAATTTATTATTATTATTAATATAATAATAGAAAATATTTTTAAAAATATTGTTTTACCTTCACAGAATCGAAATATTTTTAATTTTTTAAGTTATTTTCAGATCAATCAGGTTTTAAACGAGTTAAGTTCCATTCATTAAGGCAAAAAATAATTGCTTACAAACTTGCATTTATTTAATTTTTAAAAAACTGAAAAAAAAAACTGCCTCTAAAATTTAGTCAACAAATGTGAATATACTTTCTTTTTCTATCCAAAAATTGTTAGATGCCTAAAAAGTACATTTTTTTGTCACAAACAACAACAAAAAAATAAAATAAATCCGTGTACCAAGAAAGCATCAATGATCACTTGTGACATTTACTTTTTTATCTTTTAACTTCTTTTTCTTCTGTGTTCTTTCAGGACGTAGGCGATCATGGTTCTCCACTAATTTTTATCCTTTGTTTTGTAGCTCTAAGCAATGTTTGTTCTCTTACTATCCTTCCCAGTCCCTGTTTTACCATTCATTTACACAAGCTTGGTAGGTATGCTACTGTTTTCCTCTGCCCTCTTGCTTTTAGTTTTAGTGTGTCCTGTGAGTCTCAAATTCTCCAAGCCTTCCCTTCCTTATGTTGTGCCCCAGAAACTTTTGATTCTAAGTACAAGTGTCCTTTTTGTTCCCATTTTCTTTAAAACTTCCTCATTGCTCCTGTTTTGTTAATGCTATTCTCAGCATCCTTCTGTAAAACATCTGTTGCTTCAAGTCTTCTCTTTATCTGTAAAGAAATTGTCCAGCATTCACTGCCATATAAGAATAATTCATATTACAGAGCAGTTCAATATTTTTCTTTGTTTCTAACAAAATTTTCTTAATAGTTTACTTAGATTTTGGAAGGCATAACTCCAGAAGACAAATGAATTGAATATGTAGTTTTCTTGGTATGTTCTTTCCCAAAAAGATGATGATATGAAAACTTGAGAATATGACACAGGACCTTTTCTTTATTTTTTTCTTAACATGAGGAAGAGAATGAAAATTGTTCAGTTTTCTTGACCTTGCTTTTGACATGCCACAAGCACTGAGGAATAGTCATGACTTTACCCATTTTAAGAAAATGAAAGGGTATATTCTAGGGAACTAGGTCTCTTAGAACTAGACAGTTTATTTTTTAAGGATTCTTGGACAGAAATAACCAATTATTGACTAGAAAGTGTCATAAAATGAAATTAGGATGCATGCAGCCATGATATTTGCATCTATTATTACATTTTCATGGAGAGCAAATAAAAATATTGATTTCATTTAGATAAAGAATAAAATAGTTTTGTTTTTGTCTAGTTAAAGAAAAAAATGACATGAATTTTTTACTTTGCTGTCTTCTGATAAGTTTTATATTAAAAATTATGTTTTTAAAATATTTATGACTTGAAATTGAACAATATAAAACATAAAATAATTCATTCTTTATTCATCTGTGCTGATTTATAATCACCAATTTCTCATTAAAAATTATTTTTCCAATATTATCAGCATATTTTACAATCCAAGCTTTGTTCAGACAACTGAACCAGGAATTAATTTGCCTAAACAAAGCTTGCAATTTTAATGATCCCTTCTAAATTATAGACAATATTTCCAATAATTTTTAAAATAGTTTATTTTCTGAAATAATATCTAGACATAGAGAACTCCTTTTCATATTAAGAAGGAAATATGAAAAGTAAAAATGCTATCAAATGTGTTATTTTGTGTTTTCTGCTTTCTAATCATATTTCAAGAAAATGTTACAATATAAAACTTGTTAAAATATAGAAACTTCAACCCCTTCTGATTCTAATTATTTGCCCTTATTGTTTCCATTTTCCTTAAAACTTCCTTGTTGTTCACATATTTTGTCCATGGTATTCTCTGTACCTGTTTGTCTGATAGCCCAGAGTACCCATGACATCATAAAAAAAGGAGTAATGTTACTTAAATTTTATTGGATCCTTTCTTATACAATTTATCATATTTAGTCTTAGAAATATAAATTAAGAGGTTAATTATAAATTAATTGTTGAAATTGTTTTCCACTTTAATAAATTCATTTTACTAATCAGTATTTGGATTATTTTACACATCTTTTTGAGGTTGTAAGATATAGCAATATGAAAAGAAACTCTTATTAATAATTGAAAAGATGTCAAAAAAAAAACTTTAAATTTTCTTAAAAAATGCTGAAAACCTTATATCCTTTATAAACTACTTAATGCAAAACTAATTCTCAATACTATGGCCTTTGTTTTGTATAGAATTA